GCCACTATTGGCAATACTCCTCTCGCGAGCGAAAGGGGAAACCTGGGATACCTTGGAGCCGTGGATTCGGTCTTGGGGCGCGATGATGAGTGACGCCGGGATGGCGGATAGGGTAAGTTACTTCTCGATGTATTCAATTTCTCTTTTCGATTTAATACTAATATCTGCACTTACAGACATTCGATACCCGTATGGCTGCCGTATTGTCGATGCGCTCATTTTCTATAAGCATTAATAGCTGTACCCCCGATAACCCTCTCAATGCGGCACATATACTCTGGCTCCTCGCTCTATACGACGCCCTTAACGACGACGACGATGAAGTTCGTGCGGCCGCAGCCTTAGCCGCAACGCCTTTACTCTCGAACCAGCGACTCATCTCCGTTGAAGCGGGCCGCCGGCTCCTTCACCGACTGCTCTTCTGGTACGGCACCACCGACGAGTTCAAAGCGCATGTGGCTTGCCGCATGATCGGACACATCGCAACTCCCATATCCGACGGCGTTGGAGGTGGCGTCTCGCCCGCCAATCTCCTCTCGTCCTGGACGCCCGCCTCGACGCAGCTAGCCGAAGCCATGCGTTTCGACGACTCCCTATTCGTCGTCGAGGAGCAGAACCTATACGTAGACGAGGTGCGGGAAGTGCGGCGGTGGAGCAACGTGTTCTCGTCCCTTCTAACCCCCACGCCAACCTCTCCCTCGTCACTGGTGGAAATAACGCTCTCCCAATGGATCCTGGCAGGTCTGCAGACACTGACCGATCTCGCGCGATCGGAGGGTAAAGACGGGCCGCTGGGCTGGATGTCGAAACCTGAGGTTTTCGCTATCTGCGCGCGCATCCTGGTCGGCGGAGCTGCTCTCGCTGCGGCAGGGAACATGGAGGTTGCGGATGAGTTGCGGAGGTTCCGAGATGAAGGGCGGAAGGCTGAGGTTCATGGACTGTTGCTTGGGATGTGCGATGGATTAGTTAAGTGAGCGAGGGGACAACGGTGCTTGGTGAGAGCCAGGTAGACTTTAGACATATTCTACGTTTTTTACGGCGACCTAAAAGTGATATTTACCTCCATCTTTGCAAAGTTAACTTCAACTCATCACTTGAAACATCGCACACGCCCGTCTCTCATCTCCAATGTATCTGTATCTTGTTCGTTGTCAATGCTAATGATATTGATACACTTCGTGACCTCGTCAGTCTCATCGTTTCGTCTCGTATGTTATCCAATGACCACGAGCCTGCGCTCAATTCGTTTTTGCCAATCCAATCCAAGATTTTGGCCACCCCCAAAAAGCAATTCGTATAATGGCGGCGCCATGTCTAAGCCCCTTTGTCTCAAATGGTATCGTGCACGCTCGAATGTATCTACCTATCCTTCATCTTGTCGTATCCGTGAACGGAGATCCCCAATTCTCCCCGTGTGTTCATTTCCCTCACCCGCAGCTTTAATCACTGCTATATAGGTACCTAGATACAGGTACTTAACCCCCACGCAATCTAGCTTCTACGCACATCTGCATCTCCAGCCACAGTCTCAAGTCTTCTGAGACATCTGGTCCGTCATAGCTCTCTTGATAGGAGGCGGGGGCGGGGTCCTCGTCCCCGCGGACCCCTCGCCGTTGATCGAGATCCCCTCGCGGCCCAACCTAGCGACCAACATCGTGTTCTGTGCCTGCAGCTGACCGACCTGCTCTTGGAGGATCTCCATCTTCTTCAACGCGAGGTCGCGCTCCGCCCGGACCTTATCCAGCTCCATCGCCATATTATTTTTCTCTTCCCTCTCTAGCATCTTCTTCCTGCGCGCCTCGGACTTCTTCTGTTCGTTCTCGCGCTTGGCTTCCAGCCTCTTGAGTTCTTTCTGGTATTTCTCTTGCTGCTTGGCTACTTCGCGCTCGTGCTTCTCGCGTAGTTTCTGTAGGGCTGTTTCCTCGCGCTGGGAAGAAGTTTCCGATGTGCTGCTCCGTTTTGCGAGCGCCTTTTCTTGCGCGCGCCGTAGCTTCTCTTCCGTCTTCCGCTTGCGCTCTTCGAGCTTTTTTAGCTCCTTATCGTGCTGTGATGCCCCCGCTGAGCGGGCTAGGGAGTCAGTAGAGCGCATGGACTCCGCGCCGCCGTTTGTGACTGAAGGCGTGAGTTGTGTTGAGCTTTCTTCTGGCTTAGAGGATGACCCGTCGTTTTCTTCTGCATCCCCAGCTTCCAGACTGTGAAAGCTGCCGGTTGATGAGACATCATCATCGTTCATAGGCGATTCCGAGATGTCAGAAGAGCCCATGTTATCGTCGTCAACAGATCCAAAAGGGTTCGGAAGATGAGAGGCAGCTGCTGAGGCCGCAGTGTTGAGGACATTTGATATCATGCCATAAAATCCGGTAGGGTTGGTTTGTTCCATTGCTTCCTCCTTCTCGTCAATAGCTGATAGGAGTGGCGCACTGGGGGACCTGGTAATATTCTGGGTAGTATGTGTCGAGGCTCGCTTCTTAGATGTTGACTCTTCGGCTTCCTCGGCTTCCTGCTTGAGTTTCGTGTCCCCACTATCGGCTTCGGTGAAATCGTGAACGGACTTTGATGAAATCCACTTGACGAACTTATTGGCGTCACCGGCAATACCGGGAGGTGTACCCCTTTCGATCATGAAGCGCGGCACACTTCCGCCAGGATCACTTCGGGTAACCATTAGCCATTCGACCATGGTATCGTAGTCTTCATCATTATCCACGGTATCACTTGTGTTTGCATGTCCAATAGTTTTGCCACGTCTTCTTCTCGCCTCGCCATCTCCTAACGGAGAAGCCGACTCCGCTTGACGTGCTGAGCGAATAGAAGCCTGCCTACCAAGGTCCTCTTCTGTAATTCGTGTTGATGCTGCAAACTCGTCGTTAGGCAGATCAATTGATGATCGGGTCTTGCGGAGAGGCTTCTCGATTCTAATTTCACGAATAAATTCGACCGATTCATACTGCCCGCGAATATAACCTTGGCGTGGCGGACACTCTGGATGTATACAGGGCTTTGATACGAGCATGTAATGTTTAGGCGTTCCAGGGACATCAATAGCTGAGTCAGAACTTATCAATAAAGTGATAAAGTCTCGTGGCGTTGTTGGTCCAGGAAATTGTGCGGACAGTTGGTAAACTGGTTCAATGGGTCAGCCAGGCCAGCGTTCGAAAACGAGATCTCTCTGATGGTTAGGCAGATTAATGATTGACCTACCCTGCATCCTGCCACGACCTTCGACAATCTTATTCTCAACCTTTTGATCGGCCCCTATGCCTCTGATGCTCCCATCACCGGGTTTTCCTTGTACTTTCATGCTCTCGTCGAGCTCTTTCTCCATGCCCAACTTCCATTTTTCAAAAGTGAGGATATCGTGGACGCTACGTCTCGCAAACCAGGCACCTTTCCCATCCTTTGCGGCAAGCTTGTAGACGTCCAAACCCAGTGGGTTCTCACGTGGATTGACCTTGACTTCCTTCCAATCCTTCCTCAGCTCTGACGCGCGGTCTGACAATTTCGAGGATCTGCTAGATAGAGAGGGGAGATTCGAATCGGTGGCTGATCTTGGTCTGCCTACTTTCTGGGTAGAGGACGCGGAAGAGACCGGGATCGAATCGAGAATACACTGGGCGTCGTTGAATATTTCCTCCAAGAAAGTCTCGAGCCTGTCATGAGCGATATCGTCCCAATTGACAGGAGCGAGGGCCTTGAAGGCCTCGTGGGCGCTCGGCATAATCAAGTCCTCCTATCCGACGTCAATGTTCAGTCGCCGCCAGGGAATTGATTTGTAGGTGAGGTATAAGTGAGTTACGCGGCGTAGCTCGAAGTCGAGATATAGTGAACAGCAGAAGAAAGCAACGAGAGGCTCCAAAACTAGGTACAAAGTGGATTAAGAAGTTAAGGCTCCCATTCTATGCGTCAGGCGCTACTGAAAACAAAGATAATAATAATACACCATAGGAGCAAAAGGAATTGGCTGATTACGAGGTTAGGAATCGTCTCTAGGAGTCTAGGGTTCAATGTTGTTAGGAGTTAGTTACTAATACTATTAAGAGATAATTTGGAGTTCTGAATTCTTAACTCTTGGCCTTTTCTCAGTTGGATCTAGTAAATTTAGCAGTGATCTTATCTACCATGTTTAACGTAATGCGAACGACTCTAATAGAATATATTGACGTCATATTTGCATCTATCCATCCTCGCCCCTGATTCACTGTTACACAATTTGGGCGGAATGATTGGAATGATAGGTAATAGAGGAAGAACTTAATCCGCATACCGCAAAACCGGCACCTGGCAGTGCCATTGACAGGGATGCCCACGTGCGATAAGAATTACATATGTAGTACGCCTCCCCACTCTTCAACGAAGCTTAGAGGTTAAACCCCTATTAATTGACAGCTGAGTTACTACCTACCGAGGCTCCCTAAAGATCTTTCTCTTTCACTTAGACAACTGTATGAAAGAATATCCGAGGTCTTCGTTGTAAGCAAAGATCGCTAAGATGGTTGTCTATTTATGAATTACTTGTTCATGAGGTGTTGTTAATTTTTACTCGGTCACCCTTCTGTGGCGAAGCCGCACACGAGGTATCGAATACATAGTAGTACTAAAACTTCTGCTAGCCTTTTCCATGCCCTTCTCCCTGGTTACACGGTGATCTTGCTAATATCGTCATCAATTGTATGTAAAACAATGATCCTGCAGGTCTTGTTGATGTAGGTGGCGCTCACCACACCCCCTTACGGAACCGGTGGCATTTCGATACAGATTTGTACACTTTGAACTCTGTCAGCCTCTAGCCCAATCAAGTATTTTCATCAGTTAGAGGCTCACTTCCAAGGTTCTTTTGCTTACTCTCTAGTTATGCAGTAGCGCCCTATCGGTCCCTGATCCGAATATCCTGCTATCAACTTAACCCCCAACTAGCCGGTTACATCCTACAAGATTAGCAAGGAAGTTTATAGACTGAATCATGACAATCTTTCACACATCAAGTTCCAAACCCTCCACATGGTCCCATAGCTCAGTTGGTTAGAGCGTCGTACTAATATTGCCATATCTTGCATATGAAATATTAAGTAAATGCGAAGGCCGAGAGTTCAAGCCTCTCTGGGACCATTTCATTTTTTTTTAAATTTTTTTCCCTGACATTATATTAACAGACTGGGAATAAAATTAATAACTAACAAGTAGTCTTGTTATTTTTTTTTGGTTGTCGCATGGGCAAGGGGAACAACTGGATTTTGAAATTTTCAAATGGGGTTATTACTAACAATGGAATTGGAACACGGGAATCGCTATAAAATCTCGAAGCAGTAGACTATCTCATCACAAAAGAAAATATACCTAAACAAGCTAACTGGGTATTAGAATCATGATGTTTATCCCTGCTTTCTCGACTGCTAGACAACACTTAGTACACTCGGAACTTGGTGTCTGTTTGCTTCATATATATGGTATAACCTTTCCGCCCGTCCCTTTCTATTAGCTGTATGTATACCTACTCCGCGTCGCTACGTGAGGAGCTCGCGGCGACTCGTACTCCCTTATACACATTTTGCTTCCACCCCTGCTATCTTTCTCTTACGTCTTATCTACCAAGCAGCCGCTCCCAGGCTCTCCCTCTCCCTTTCCTGCAACAAGGCTTCGCGATCAGCTTTGCAGCTACCACAGTACTCCTCATGCCACAATTGCAAGTTTCTCTTCTTCGCCTCATCTTTCTCTCTCTCCTCCTGACTCTTCTTTCCATTCTTGCTACCTCCGCCCTGCAGCACCTCCTGTCCCGTAACCCACCCCTTAGCACTCCTCTCCGCACCGCCTTCATCCCACCTCGCGAGCGCGGCCTCGACCTGTTCGCAGCGGTGGTTCTCATCGAGCAGCCAATTCTCCCACTCCGCGCGCACGACTTCCCTCTCTACGCTATTGACCGTGCGCATCGCGACGATAAGATCGTGTCTGTAGCTCCCCAATTTCTGTCTTGTCTGCCTTAGCCTTCTCGCCGTCGCGCGACTCGAACTCCACGCCATTGCTGCACCTGCCTGCTCGCTCGGCGCATCCGCGTCGGTGCTGTTCGCGATAGATCTAAACGTGGAGTAGCAATAGCTGTCTTCTGGCCACTCCTGCAGCCCGGCGGAGCCGTGCGTCGCCTCGTCGAGATCTGCGATGTAAATCGCTTTGCTCATGACGATATTTGGGCCCACACCGATGCGGTTCATGTAACTGACAGCGCGACGCTCGTTCCACCACGTGGACGTGCCCTGGCCCGAGAAGACGATGTTAGTGAAGGTGCTGAAAGCGAGTAGACTTAAAATGATCCACTGCGCTGTGATCACGTCGTAGAGCTTCTTGACTCCTGCGAATGCCCACATCATAAGTGAGCTCGCTACGCTGTCTGCAAACGACCGCAGAGTCTCGAGGAGCATCTGGCTAAGCGTGCGCGGGTTTATTTGCGCCTTCTTCGTTAAGTCCGATTCGTTAGGCGTGAACACCAGCGCTTGTGTCTGCTGTCCGACGTTTCCGTAAACCTGGATCGCGCGTTTTGTGCGGCTGTGGTGGCCGAGCTTCCGTACCTGGTCAGTAGCGATCTCGGCGAGATCTTCGGCCGCCTGGCCGGCATCGTCCAGAGCCTGTTGCTCAACCAAGTTCTTCGCGAGGGCTGGCGGTTTTGTCCACACAACCTTCGTGAATATGGCGAGTTTACATTTCGACTTGGCGACATGAGTAATGACAATCTTGGTCACCAGTTTAAAACCATGGGCGTGAGGAAGATGCCATGGTGTTTTGACATGAGTGACGACGTATGTGACATGGTCACTGAATAGCTCGATTGTCTGTTCGTCTGTATACTCTTCCGCCTTCGTGCGACCCAGCCTCGTGGTATAATTGACGCTAAAGCGGAACTGCCTCTCCATTTTCCCTGCCTCGTTTAGTTTCCATGGGCTTTGGGTGATATGCTGAGCTCTGCTTTCAAAGTAGAGCTTTGGAAATATGAAACTCTTATCTCCAAATAGGACGTGGAAGCATGCTTTGGCACTAATTTCGAAGTTCCGCTCGGCGCCCTTCCTTTGCATGTCTTCAGGCTCGTAAATCACCGGGTGGGTCGGAAGTTGGAATTTAGGAAGTGGCTTCCGTGAGCTCTTCTGGCGCGAGTTGTAGGCTTTATCATGATTCCTAGGGCTGATAGCTCTACCCGCCGCGGTACCATCGTCCAGAGGTGTATGTTCCGAGATTTCCTCCCAACTGTCCATGCTTGGACTTTTTCTGTCTAGTTCTTCTTTCTCCAAGTTGATCAGCGCCCTAATGAGTTCGGGAACATCCATAGGCTCCTCGGCTTGCAAATCATCAACCAGCAGGTTGAGACGTGCATGCAAAAGATCAAGGTCCTCGAGGAAAGTCTTGATTGTGACCCGGGTGTATCCGATAATATCCGTACCCTGATTCAAATGAAGGAAAATAAAATCGCAGTCTCTGCCGGGGGCAGCTGTTACCTCCGAGATAGTATCGAGACTGATTGTGTATGTCACAACGAGATCCATTTGATGGCCGTAAAAGTACATATTGTCTGGAGTGACGTAGATACGCCCATTACCAGCCATCGTGGGTACAGTGCGGTCATCTTCCGAATTACTAATCCAGGAAGCGCGGAAGACGAGAACTAACTTCTCATCCATTGGCACGCTTGGGAAAAGGAGACGGAATTGGGCAGAATTCGTTTTGAGTTCGATGGGGTAGTCTGGTGGGAATGTTTCTGGGGGCGGTTTTTCTATAGCAGGTTGATCAGCCTTGGCGTGGTTTACCCTAGCATCCATACTGATAGCTTTCTTGTGTGAAGATGGACTTTTGGCTTCTTCGCCATCGCCAACTGGAACCATCCTGACGGTGGGAGAGTTGGGCCCAAATGGATCTTCAAGCTCCACGTTACTTCGATTTGCCTTGGAGTATTCTCGACCCCAAGCATTGCTTCCCCAGTAATTAGCTAGGATCGCAGTTGGCAAATTTTGCGAGGAACTTGAGCTTAAACTCCTATCACCACTGTAAACAACAGCTGTCTTACTAAGATTGGTCGTTGCCGGCGGTTTTGCCAACGTTGCCGGTGCAAGACTACCGGGTTGTACCTCCGGACCCGGCATTGGCTGTGAAGACTTGGAACCTGAGCCAGTATATGTTGGCAACAAGCCGTGACTAGCGGATATGAGACCAGCAATTCCTCCACTTGTTCCGGGCGGTGGCATAGGTCCGGTGTCCAAACCTGAGGTAAAAGCCCTTCTGTGGAGATCGAGTTTTTGCATAATCCTTGCCGCATGCTCTCGACTACTTTCGCCATCTTCGCGAGCTAAAGACGTGACTGATCTCTTAGGGGGTGCTGTCGTGAGGTCAAAGCTCGGTCTCGGGATTAGTCCGACTTCAGGCGCGGGAACCGACAAAGCTCCGGTACGGTCGGCATTGGCTCCATCTTCGATTTGCGCATCCAACGCTTTGGCCGAAAACTCTGGGAGCGAAGGAGGCGTGATAGAAAAAGCCGGATCAACGCCACCTGGTAAAGATGAATTGTCTCTGCTAACGCTAGCTTCGAATGCCTTCTTCTTTGCGACTTCGAAAACCTCAAGCCACTCCATTAGCTGAGCTTGTGTCTCGGCCTGAAGCAGCAATGTCTGGTTCTTGGTCTTGACTTCGAAACAGAACCGACGTTCTTCTCCGACGGCAGGCTTCACATTGCAGAGAAGTACTCCAATCTCATCGCCTTGCAAGACACCCTGAGGGCTATTGACAAGCCAACCGAAGATACCATCTCTGCAATAATACCATCGTCGAATCCAATTGGTCCTAGAAGGTTTGCCGGTTATCGTCCGAAGATACAGCCAGCCCTGTTTTTCCATTATCGCTGCAGATTGCCCGGTGGTGACGTTTAGGGGACCTCTGGAACCCAGGAAAGGGACGGTTGATGCACTATAGTCTTCGATCTCTCGTGATGGCTTGACTGCCGCCAATGCGCTCTCTCCAATGTCGCTGCGAGCTAATTGTAATTGTCTTTTGAAAGTGGGCTCAGAGAGTTCCATTTCTTTTGCCCATCCTCTCACACGATCCATCTCATGACCATGTTTCCCAAAACTTCCCGCAGCGTCTCGTGACTTTTTCATCTCACGCCATAGGTCGTAGGACACTTGGACGATCAACTTGTCGAGATTGATTCGGAACTGTGGCGCGTAAAAGCAGAAGTCCATGGAGGCCTTCAAGTAGGCCTTGCGAGTCTCATATACGGCGAAGGCGTCTTCACGTAGTGACGAGGGCTCTTTCGTCTTGGACTGGCCCACGTACCGGGCTAGAGTAGTATCGAACACCTTCTGCGTTTGTTCCAACACTCTTCTGGCTTCTTTGAAGTTCTTTAAATCGCTCTGTAGAAAGTTTCGGATCGGCTCGACCGACATCGAATCCATCTGCTTCGCAGCATTCAGAATCTGGACCCACCATTCCCTCGAACCCTCGCTGAACCTCTTCAATGCTAGTGCAGCATAGTCATTGTCAACATTACTGATATGAGGAGGTGGGATGATCCTGGCTAGGTAGGTGTGAATAGTTTCCTCCAGGCCTACCAGGTCATGAGATAGCTTCGCGGTCGTTCTCACGTAGCTCTCTAGCCACCGCTCGATAGCATCTACTTGTTCGGAGAAGTATAGGGCAGAAGCTCGGAATGAGGGCGAGTCAAGCCCTGCTTCTTGGAGAACGACCGGTACGGAAGGGTTCTTATGTTTAGTCGGAGGGGTGGTTGTCGTAGTTGTCGTGGTTGGCACGGCTGCCGCCGCCGCGGGAGCAGCGGTGGCTGGTTTTTCTGTCGACATGAGGTAGGTAGGAAATTAACGATTTGATTTTATTATTGCATTAGAATATCAATGAACGGGTTTAGAAAGGTGTAGACAATGATCATAAATTCGTGAAGAATCTAGGTGATTGAGACTCGATGTGGTTAATTTGACGCGCCTTTCGTTGTTTGACCGATGCTTGTCGTTCAATTGTCAGCTAACTGCGTCGTGCATGTAAAGCCCATGTGAGCTTCGAATGCCTTCTAGTTGGAGGCTTTCAGGCGTTCCATGCCGAGCCTCGTCAGAAGAAAAAGAGGTGTA